TGTGATACATGTACAACTGAAAAACTGAAAAGGAATGGAAGCCCCACAGGCCAGGCTGGGGGTGGAGGGGAGGGGGTCAGCACAGCAGGGTGCAGACCCAGCCTCAATGTGGCAGGAGGGGGCCACCAGCTGGGAGAGGGGTGGCTGGACATGGCCTCTCCAGAGAAGCCAGCTCAGCCCGGAATGACACCCCAGAGAGGGACTCTCAGGGCAGGGGGCGGGTGGCCGGAACCCATGCCCAGACCTGGGGTAAAGGCGGCAGGAGGGCCCTTCAGGCTGAGCCTGGCGACCCTCTCTGGAGTTGGATGTGGGCCCAGGCGCGGTGTCTCCAGGCAGCCCGTTGCCTCCCAGCCCTGCCGGCTCTTCCTGCCTCCATGGGAGGCTTGGGGGCTTCCACGGCCACTGCTGGGGGAAGCGGCCACAGAAGCAAGCTGGGCAGGCAGGCAGAGCGAGAGACACGGCCAACGGGAAGCATGGACAGTCCCTGCAGGGCTGTGGGCCCAGCGCCTGTCTCCTCACCCCTCCAGCCAGGCTCGGCTCTCGGTGGGACCCAACAGTGACCCTCCTGAGACGCTGACAACACTCCCCCCGGCTGCCTAGGCCCCGCACGCTGGCCGCCCCCTCAGCTCAGCCCCACTGACCACAGACACTGGTGACCTTGCAGCTGCGCTCTCAGAACCACTACTCCCAAGGCCTCTTCTACTCTCCAGGCAGACCACTTCAAGACACAGGGCATCCCCTGCACACTCCTGTATCCCTGCGGCCAGAGCCAAGCCTGGCAGTGACGAAGTCCCACCCACCGAGGCGCTAGCCAAGGAGGCCCCCGCCCTCCTGACTCCCCGCCCTGCCCCACCCCCACTTGCAGAAGGAGGCAGGCATCAGTCCTCTCTGTCCCCCACAGGGGCCCCCCAGGTGGCCCAAGAGGCAGTGGGAGCTCCAGCCTGGGGACCAGTGGGGAGACAGCCTGGTATACTCTGGGCGGCATTATAGGAGGGCTGACGAGTCCATCATCAGAGGCTGCAGTCCTGTTTTCTTATCCACCAACAAACAGCAACCCTGACCATAATAATAAGAAAAAGGTAACAGACGACACTCATCTGACAAACACTATCACCAGCCTTTACCACCACCCTACGAGGGAGGGGTATTCACTCCTACTTGGCTAGAAGAGACTGAGGGTCAGGGAGGGCACGTGAGGAAGCTGGGAAGCAGGAGAAGAGTCAGAATTCTAACGAAGGCCTACCCACCCCCAGCCCGGGCTCTGCCCCCACCTCCCGTCCTGCTGAGTTGTTTGTGGGCAGAAGGCCACCCTGCGTTCCCAGCACTTGACACTCAGCCCAAGTGGGATAAGGCTGTCTACATCCATGCTTGTGGCTGCCAGCAAGATGGGCAGGCAGGGTCCCTGCTCCCACGCTGCAGGTGAAGAACCCAGGCCCCACGCCTGAAAGCTGGGCACCCAGCGGGCTGAAACCGCTTACAGAGGAGGTCCCGGACGCCGCTCCTCCAACAGCCAAAGGGGCCAAGCTAGGATGTGACCAGACACCCTCGCCTCTGCACACCCGCCCTCCGGGAGCTCAGGTGACCCCACGCCACCTCTGCTCCTTCACCTCCCGGAGCCCCACAGTGCATCTGAGCCTGAGGAGCCCCTGGCCAAGGGCAGAGAACAGCCGCGGCCACCTGCTCCTGCGGGGCCCTTGCCCAACAGAGGAAACTCCTTGGGGGGTGGGCGAAGCCAAGGACGGCCTGCGGGAGCTCCCAGCTCTGTCCAAGGTCCAGGAAGGGGGCCACCTCTGTGCCCCGCTCAGGGCCGATGCCAACTTGCAAGGCGGGGACTCACAGCCCCCCATCCCACCCACCAGAGGCCAGGCAGTGCCACTTTAAGCAGCAGCCAGCCGGCTGGCATGCCCGGCGGGTGAGTCAGCGCCCAGTGCCCGCTGACTCATCCACCGGAAGCCTCCTGCTGCCCCGGCCCTCTCCCCACACAAACGGCTGAGAACTTTGCTCCCTTCAGGCCCCGAGCCACAGGCTGGCTGATAGACAGTTTCCTGTGCGTCACGCCAGGGGTGGGGGAAGTCCCCCAGGTGCCACCCTCCAACCTTTCCGACAGCCAGGATCCAGGATGGGACTTGGTGGGGGGGGTAGCGGCACAGCAGGAAGGGCTGGGACACAGCGTTCCTGCAGCCTCAGCGCCCACACCGGGCAGCCATGAGCCACGTGAGGGTCACCATCAAGGGCCCACACAGGAGGTACTTTTGGTGCAGCAGGGCACCCTGAGGACAGGTGCAGACAGAGGCAGCAGATCGACTATACCAACCAAAGGTGCCCCTGCCCTCTGGCCCCAGCATGAGCTGCCCTTGGCCTCTGACCCCTGTCAAAGATGGCATGTGGGTGAGGAGGCCAGGAAAACCAGTAGGACTGTGGGGCCTGGGGCCTCAGCAGGAAAACTCCCCAAGACTGTGGCAGGAGGAGGGGCAGGGCACCCCTGCAGGGAAGGAAGCTCAGAGGTAAAGCTCCCAAGGTCAAGTGCCAACCACGCCCTGCTTGGTCCAAATTCCTCACAGGAGAGCACTGCGGCCTGCCCCCTGGATGGGGCGGGCTCGGTCCAGCCACTCCTCCATCTGGCCTCAGTTTTGTCATCTGTCAAATGGGTCAGACCACAGTCAGTATGAGATGTGCTGCAAGGGCTGTGCAGGCAGGAGGCATCAACTTGGGCTCACTCGTCCTCCAGACCAGGCATGGGCTGCGGGAGCTGCCTCTGGACACAGGTGTTTTGGGGTCAGGGGAGTGTCCCACCAGCTAAGCCCAAGCATCCAGCAGAGAAGTGGGACACAGAGGAGCACTGAGGACACCTTTGGAGACACACAGTCCTGGGCAGGACACCAGCTCCATCTGTCACAGCTGTGTGACTGCAGGCAAGGCACTGAACACCTCTGAGCCTCGGCCCCCTCATCTGTAAACGGGGCTGTGAGCAATAAATGGGACAGCACGCAGCACATGGGAGAAGCCTGGCAAGTGGGAGCGTCCCCACCACATCAGTCCAGACCCCAAAGAGGCAGACAGGATCCCCCAGGGCCCTGGGGAGGCCTTCTGACCCTACATCCAACCCACCCAACATCATCTGTTACCCAGGCCCACAAACTGGAAACTCATCCTGACCCTCTCTCTGCAGAGAGGCTCAGAGAGGACAATGCCAGGACTCAAGTCACACAGCACGTGATATCTCCCCAGAGTGCTTTGTTCCTTCCCACTCATGACCCCTTTCCCTCCCAACCTTGCAACTTCAACTTTTATTTTGATGAGGCATCCCTTATGCCTGGAGCAGATGAATGGGCCTTCAAAACCAAACACTGCTGCCAACCTCTTCTCTCCGCTCATGAAAACACTGTGGCCCAGAGAGGCTGATGGACCCGCCCGCGGTCTCACAGCACTGGCCAGGCCAGGCCTAGAGGCCGGGCTGGAGAAGAGAAGTGTCTGATTTCCTGGTTCCCAAGCTCCACGAGGTCTGTGCAGCACAAGCCCCTCCCCAGCCACCTTCCCCCTTGAGTGCCTCCTGGGTTACTCACAGTGGTTGGGCAACGGGCGGGGATCCGGCCTCCCACTTATGTAAGACATAGTTAGCCTGCCCACCAGGCCGGCTGGGCTCTGGCCCACAGCCACTGCAGCCGCGGGGAGCAGGGCAGGGAAGGACCCACACCCTCCCCAGGACCCCACAGCCCTCTGGCCGCATGGGCCAGTCCAGAGAAAGAAAGGCAGGAACGACCTCGCTTAGGGGCCCTCGAAGGGCCAGCTGTTACCTTCCTCCCCTCACTCTGCAGCTGCAACCAACCAGAGGTAGCCTCGATCCCACACGGCTGAGGCCCTTCCAGCAGGAAAAATGCTAACAGTAACAAGACACAGCAACTGTCCCCTGGAAGTACCTACTATGCGCCAGGCGCCATGCTGAGCCCTCCATCTCATCACTCACCCCTCTGCTAACACTCTTGTGTTCACCGTCTCACACCCTACTTCAGGAGTCCATGGAAGGAAGGGGGCCAGAGACACTCCGGCTGCTGGGGTGAGGCAGCAGGTGAGAGAGCAGGGGACAGCCCATTCATTAAGGCTGCGTCCGGTTTGGAAATCTCTCACAGCCCCGCCCCCTGAGACCAACATGCCAGAAACATCTTTTCCTCTTCCTGCCAAAAAATCCCCCTTTTGCCCTCCAAGTCTGGTCCTCCCCCTCTGCATGACAAATCCTGCTGCCGCAGACTCCTCACAGAAATTTCCGGGAAGGCCGGCCACTGGGAAAGGCAGGAGCAAGCCCACTGCACAGACTGCACCGGGCCTGTCAGGGGCCCAGAACCCAAGGCAGCGATCAACCCTGGAGACGTGAGGTGCAAGATGGGGTGCGCTCCCCAGGAGCAGCGAGAAGCTTGAAAGTCAAGACAGGGGAGCTGAAGGAGAAGGGGCTGTACCGTAGGCGGGGTCAGAGGCCCAGAGAGGTTCCTCATAGGGGTGCAGGCCAGCCAGGGATGGGGCCATGCAAGGCCTACGTGGATGGCCAGCGTTGGGGAAGACGTCGGGGAGCTCTGAGCTGGAGTGTAGCCAGGGCACCCACATGGGAGGGGAGCACCGCTGGGCCCACCCAGATGGGGAGCCAGCTACATCCCAGCCTCTGGACAGCCCTGGGACCCCAGAGGGGAAGGGGACTGGGTGCAGGGTCACAGTGAATCCCACCTGGGTCCAGCTGAGGAACCTGGACCGGGAGAGCTCCTGCCCAGGGTGCAGTTAAGGCCCAGATGGGGAGATCAGAGCGAGGTTCCTGACCCAGGGAGGGGATCAGAACGAGACCCTCGCCGGAGTTTCGGCCTGGGTGCAGCCCCAGCGCAGAAACTGGGGTCCAGGTGAGGTCCTAGATTGGGCCTGGGACCCAAAGGGGAGGGGTTCCGGGCCGGGACTTGCCCGGGTGCGGACGGACCGGGGGGACATCGCAGAGGTCGGGTCCGAAGCCCGGGCGCTCCTACCTTTGGACGGGGGCACGCCGGCGGGCGGGCTCGCGGCGGGC